GTAGAGACTGAAACAACAAATGCACGGCATTAACGAAACATGCTGATCTACCAGTATTTCAAAAAAAGGTATACGGCCATGGCATTTTACTGCTTCAGTCACTCCATGGAAGTACAGGAAACCAAAAAGACCCAGAGAGATTTATTGCTCCTTACGCCCAGAAATCTTCAACCGTGTCAAACTTAGAGATGAGTCGCAGGTTGGCCTGCCATGTTTTGCTCTTGTCATTCTTGAAGAACCACAGAGACCATCTGTTGGGTGAATACAGAAAAAGGGATTTGCATAAATGTAACAAGCCACTAATTAAACACGAGGTAAACAAAAGTAACCAAAAGCCATTGGGCTTCGGAGCAAATGAGCGACGTATGGATGCACCTGGATGCCGCCGACACAAACTCTATCTGTAAATCAAGCTATCACTCTCTTAGTCCAATTAATTGTGACGCTGTGTCTTACTTGTTCAACGCTGAATCCTCTTATAGTTCAGCAACTGTCTTAAGCTTGAGGAATACTACAGGAAACTGTGGCTGCTGACACTACTATAAAAGCCATTAAAGCAGCTAGTCTGTCAGTGGGTTTGGAAGGTGTTTCTTAAATGAGCCCACATAAATGCCAGCAAAGGACGGAACAAGTCAACGGATACAATTTGAATTCTCTTGAGTTGCACTGTTTATGCATAACAGACTGTCTGATAAGGAAATATGAAAATGCAATAGTCGGCAGGCTTCTGTTTATGGCACCTTTGTGTATTCCATGTTAAACCTATACAGATACAATGCAAATACAGACACGAGCAGTGTTCAGTTAGCTGCTATCTGAAACTTCACTGCTAAATGCCACTAAATCTTACCCACTGGTCTTTTAACTTGTCTGGTTGTTGTTTCATTATAGGCCATAATGTGAGGCAGCATATATGTACAGTCTCTTACATCGACATCTACAGGGTGGTTCTTTGCCTTACAATGCATGCTGGAATAAGCCCATGCCCCCGATGACCCTGTAAAGGAATAGGTGAGTCAAGAAAATTAATGAATGCTAATAGGCAAATGTTGTTTGACCTGTGCAAGCAGCACATTAACGGTCAACATGTGGGAATACTTTGCCTCTGGACTTCAACCTATGTATTTCTAACCTCACAAATGAGTTGTTTGGGGTCCATCTTTTCCTTCAGTTTATTGGCTTTCTGTTGAGTTTGCTTTTTCTATTCAACCCTTTTGGAAACAAATATCCTTGTGAAATTTAAATATATATATAACATATTCAATCGTTGCTTATTTGTATTCAGCACAGAGGGGAGTTGGAACCTATCTGAGTAAGGACTGAGAGGAAAACACTGAAACACTCTGGACAGGTCACCAGACAATCACAGTCTTACTGTGGGGAAATAAAGTTTCCAATCCAGTGGACTGAATTTGTTTGGACTGTGAGACAAAATCCACTTTAACACAGAACATGAATACACACAGAAAGGACCGGGGCCATAAGAAACACTGCTAAACACTGAGTCACTAACTACAGGCACATTATTATAAAACATTATGTTATATATACTATATTCTTATATATCCTTAAATGAGTTGGTAGAACAAGCCCAGAATTAAAGAAACTGTCAAAACATAGTCAGTCGATCATATTTATTTTCACATCGTTTTACTTTTTTTGAAGAGTCTAGTTGAAAATAGATTTTTGCTTAAGTAACAACTCAATTGATCTGGAAAGCAAACATAGATAGATTTGGGGAAAAGAGTATTTTGTTTTTCACATGTTTTTATTGTGCGCTTTGCACTATTTTAGAAACTGCTCAGCTTCCTCTTGGTGAACACAGTGGTCATTGTTTTTGGTGACCCTTCAATTCACATCTTGCTTTCGCTTCCATATGAGCTGTCCACTCAGCTGTGTGGAGGAAGGGTCATCTAGTTCAATTGTGTAACACATAAGTCACTAATCTTGTCTTTGAAACTGAGGGTGCAGCCCAGTACAGCAAGAGGGTGATCAGATACTGGTCTATCAGTACAAGGCCAATATATGGGATTTCTCTGTTTTGCCTCAAAAGTGAGACTCTAAGCACTCTCAATTCAACACGCAAACCAAAGCAGTACATGTCTGCCAGCAGTCCATGAACCAAATTATTGGAGGTAAAGCTTGATTTTTGTGACTGCGACTTAGATAAAAATGGATAATAATTATCACAGCTAAAACTAACTAAACTTATTTTTTTATTACCCAGTTTATAACCATGACAATATCTGTCACAGTACAAATACTATCATATTATGTTTTATATACTTTATATATTAATATTTGCAGGAATGGAATATAATATGCAGAATTATGTTTTCATTAGTGTATAATCAACTGAATATAGGAATCATTGTGTTTTTGTTACCTTAGAGTTAACCATTTTTATCTACAGGCACTACTTTCATGGAGGCCGCCATACTAAACCACCATGTTTCTACAGTAGCCCAGAGGGGACAAACATAACACTGGCTGTAGTAGGGGGCGGTTAATGTTTTTGTGTATTTTGCGGCCACCATCATTTCTCTTTTGCACTTGGAAGAGGAGGGAGTTTGTATCTATTACTACTAATGTTCCACCACTAAATCCTACACACTGGCCCTTTAAACTGCAGAATCAATAATGTTGGCATAAAAACACCGGCCAGCTATTAACAGTTACGTAAAGGCAAAGGGAAATACTGAAAATGATCAAAAACTTTCTGTTTTCTCATGCTTAAACTTTCCCCTGACAATAACCTATTAATGCCCACATAATTCTCCCTGACAGTGCTTAAAGTACTCGAGCTCAAAGTATGAGGCTGTAGCACAAATCTTTCTTAACATGATTTTTTTAGTCACTAGGGGTTGTTTTTTTTAAATGATTTTCCAGGAAAACATCTCTAGAACAAGATAATAATGTTTGATATACTCATATTCTGGATTGTTACAATCTAGATTCAAAGAAAAAAGATAATCTGTTGCTTTTTCTTGTTTCAGTATTTCCATGTGCAGACCTGAGAGACATTTTATAATGTATTCCTATGGAATAAGATGAGTAACTTGTAGTGACTAACAACTAAATATAGCATGTTACAGAAATGGCCGTGTCTCAAAAAGTACAAGGAGTTATATCCAATGCACGGGTATCACTGGATTCAGAATAACAGTTTCAATGATGTGTGCTTTGATCCAGTTTAAATATTATTTAATATGATATTTAACATGTCAAATGAATGGATTTTTTTGTATTTAAGAAAAAAAAATCTACTTTACTTCCTCTACCAACTGAGGCATTATTAATATGTGGAATCAAGATTTTGGACTTGGTCAAGTGTAGCCATCCATTTACAGTTTCCACGGCAGATTTTTGTGCTTCCACCTCTAACAGAAAACAAATCTGTGGGGACATACTAAATATAGTTGTTAGTTATTAATGGAATAAATGACTGGTTCCCCTCATAGTAAGTTTACAACATGAAAAATGACAACCATTTATTTCTAACAATAGTAGTATACAGAGAGAGCTTCTGGACTTGACAGAAAAAAGTCAAATCTCAGCTTGAATGTGTGCTCCAATGCTCGCTTTAATTAAACTGACTTGTTCTGAAGGGGGTGTTTGATGTAGGCATCTGGGCTCACAATCTCCTGTCCGGTCTCCTCGGCTCCATCTTCATCAGGCTGGGTTGGACTTGGGTTGGTTTCCTAAAAAGCAGTTAGAGGTGAGTAATGCATATAAGGGAAGTAGGCGGTGGGTTTCTGTTTCCAGTGCAACCGATCATACTTTACAGGGTGGGTCTAAGTGGAGAAATTATCATGTAACCGTAACATGACGTCTTTTTACAGTTGTTGATTACATAAGGGAACACTTGGCAAACAGATGGTGGTACGATTAAAGGCAACATTTAGAAAGACCCTTGGTGACAAAACAATAGTGTTGTTTCTCATCTCAAAGCAGATAAGTAATCTCTTAAGTAAACTTAAATAATATATTCCGTGACGGAAGCGTTCACTAGTGAAACCCGATATGAACATCTGGTACACATTTCACTGTGACGTGAAGCTACAGTTTGGCTAGCTGACTCTACTGCTACCACTACTGGTGGCAAATAACTTTAAAAAGTGCTAACTTCATTGTCAGACAGTTCAATTCATTCCCAAAATGTTTGTTGACGAACAGAAAAAACTTCCATTCATATAACTTATTTAAGTTTAGTAATTCCTTTTATGAGCCAGTCTTGAATTCGGCATTAATTTAACACACCAAATAGTGTTTATTAGTTTAAAAAACACCATCTTTAAACCTGACACTCTTACTATCCCACCCTCGCCTAGCATTAGCGTAATAACGTTAACATCAGCCACTAAAGTAACGAGCTAACGTTTCATGGTAGAGGTCAGCAGGGAGCACTGTCAACCAATTCAGACAGTTCACATTTGAGCTACAAAACTACTGCTGTTTGTGTTTGGTGGGTTATTTTAAACGCCGAATTCACTGGTAGTTCATAATACTCGTACTGTCTTAAATAAGTGTTAGTCATGTCTACTTTTGCCAATAACTTAAGCAATGGCAAGTTAACGAGCTCATTTTGCAATGGAAGTTGCCGCGGTTCTCATCGCAAAGGTGAACGGCACGTCGGTTAGCCATAACGTCAGCCTTAAAGTTAGGAGATCTCCACACACAAGCACTCCTCTTTCACGCTTAGGTCGTGGCACAGAAGACAAACTAGAAACTAATCAAACACCACATGTGGTTGTCACAATGGTCAATTTCCTGCCGAGGACCAATTTTTAAAGTTGTTCATAAACTTTTAACGTCAACTCGCCCTATAAATATAGCGAGAACCCCCCCTAAATATTATGATAATGTTCTTTAGAGAAAGTGCTCACCGGTTCGGCGGTCGCCATCTTACAAATCTGTGTTAGGAAAGTTTGTGTTGATTGGACGGAGCGGCGCAACGTGACGACCCCGCTGCGGACATGCGCTGTGTGCCGCCGCTGGCTGGCTGCTGCTTCTCCGCGACTCCACCCCTCCTGCAGACGAAGGCATGGCGAGCACCGAAGCTAGAAGGGAGTGTGAGACAGAGGGCTGCAGCAAGGACGCCAAACTCCAGTGTCCCACATGTATCAAGCTTGGTATTCAAGGCTCCTATTTCTGTTCACAGGTACTGATGCTTTCTCAGCTTGTCCGGTTCAAACGTTGGCTGTAGCCCCACACCAAGGCCCTGTGTCTTATCACGAGGCTGCTAATTGTCAAGCTAGGTAGACATGTGTAGGTGCCTGGTAACCCGCTAATAACCAATTCTCTTTACGTTAGCGAATGGCTTCTAGCTGTGCAATGTTATAACGTTACAGTTATCTGAGTGTGAATAATGCAGTCAGTGTTTGTAACTGATGCTGTCTGTGTAAGTTAACAGTAGGCCGAGTGGGAAAACGTTCAGCTAGCTAACTGTTGACTGGTTAGCTAAAGTGAGTGATACAACGTCCCTGGTCAAAGTGAAAAGCCTCCAGTGTGAAGTGCTTGTGCTGACAGAGTAAAACTGTGAGTGAAATAATGTACACTGTTTAGGAACCAGGTATTCCAGTAATGTAATTTCCTGCTAGTAATGATAATTGAGGTGTAAAGTGAGGTAACGGTAATGTATCGTGACAGATCAGTTGGTGCCACGATGTTTGATCCTGGTACTTTTCTTTCCAGCGACACCAAAACCCCAGTCACAAATCTGTCAGTTTAAAGACTCACTTCTGATCCACAATGCTTCGTACTTGGCAGCTGAATGTCACTTATGCATTTAAGGGTTTAATAGAAGTTAATCCCCATTTAATAAAAGTTTGGCTGAGCAGGACCCTTTTGAACAGTGTGACAACTTTTAGTACTGACAGATGCCATTGTCACTGTAGGTGTGTTTTCACTTAAGTGCCTAAAGGGCTTGTAAGATGTTGTGTGAGTCACTTGTGAGAGTTGATATTGTATTGATAAAGTCTGTGGATGCTGCTCTGTCTTGCAGCAGACACTGGCCTTAAAGCATTAAACATTAAACTACTGCAATTACTCTCTCAACTCTCTCTGCAGAAGGTCTCTGTTTTGAGTACATCTAATGCAATGTTCTTTGAATCCAAAGCTTTATAAATAGTCAGGTGGGGTGGCAGTTTCAATGATCTTGTGGTGCTATGGCATTTAACCCTAGAGGTCTTTGCTGTGATTGCAGTTTCGGCTGTGCAACCTGATCCGGCTTTCTATATTCCCTGTGTGTGTGTCTCTCTCTGCTCTTAACCGTCCAGTTAAGGCGTAAATGGCACTGACATTGGCAATAAATGCTGACATATTTGAAAGTGTCTACCTCTAGGGCACTTTCTGTGGTGCAATATCTGTCACAGTGTGCAAACAAGTAGTATCGTTTTTGTAGAAGTTGGCTTTGAATGAGTTGTGCGTCAGTCCAAAGTCAGTGACCATGCATGTGATTGTAAGACATTAGCTAACTGTAATTTTGAGCACAAGTATCAGTCATAAAAATCCATAGATCTGTCATTCTATGTCCCCATTTAGAGTTTCTTTCTGTGTTTTCATTTCCAGGAATGTTTCAAGGGGAGCTGGGTGTCTCACAAGTTGCTGCACAAAAAAGCAAGTAAGTATTCCTGATCACTGCCGGTTCTTCTGTACTAACGTTAAGTTCTGTTACAGGCCAATTCACAGCATATAAATTAGTGACATTATTTTGGATGCTAGTGCTGAAGGAAACCAACCACTGAACTTACACGGTGTCCAATTAGAGCTTGTTACTAAAGTCGACAACAGGTGTTAGCCCTTGACTGCAAACTAACACATTGGTCCCAGATGCTTCAGAGACCTTGTGCTGTGTTTTGTTTGTTTCAGAGGAGGACAAGAACCAGAATGAATCTAAGAACTGTGTGGAGAAGGACATCAACACAGACCCATGGCCGGGCTACCGCTACACAGGAAAACTACGCCCTCACTACCCACTGGTAAGTTCTTGCTGTTAAGAAAATAGTAATTTCACATATTTTGCCATGTATAATTCATTAAATGAAAAAATGGATAGAATGACCCAAGTGACGAAATACACAATAAATGCCACCCCTTTTGTCTCCATTTGGTTGCATTTGATGGTGATAAACTGGTTTGCACATTTTTGTCACCGTTTTTCTTATACTTTAACATAAAATGTTAAATGTTGCTTTCTTCTATTCTGTTTCCTCCTTTGGACCCTGGTGTAGACTCCCATGAGGCCTGTGCCTGGTGACATCCAAAGACCTGACTATTCAGATCATCCCAGAGGTAACCATGCTACTTTCTTAAGGAAATATACCAGAGACAGTTAGTCTTTTGTTAAATAAGAGGTTCTAAGTATAAAAAGTAGTTCCAGTCATCAAATACTACGTTATTCTCCCGGCAAATTTGCCCAGTGACATTCACATGGCAGTGCTTATGGTGTGTTTGGATGTCAGATAGTCTGTCCATCCATCTGTTTGTCTCTGTCCCGACACACAGCAAGTGCGGATTGTCATGAAATCTGTCATGGTTATTCCTGGTTCCCATTCCCAGATGACGATTGTTAATGATTTTAGTTTCCCCTCAATCTTGCCTCTATTGCCATCTCTGGCCTAAAAGTCTATTTACAGACAACATATCAAAATGTACTGCTCTGATTACCATAGAATTTACCGAGCAGACTGATGCTCTGGTGAAGATCAGTGCCTTTGATTTTAATTACCCTCAGGACAAACTGCAAATTTAGCACCACTAACAGGAAGCCTCTAATAATAGTTAAAATCATCAGTATTTTACTTGTTCTGTTCAATACTTTCACACTGTGGGATGTAATAATGGCTGTTGGCGGTGCTTCACACTCTGTGTTGTTATTAAGTAAGAACTCTGTTGTGTGGCATAATGATGGATAAAAAGAAAGCATACTTATCATCCAGTGAGCACATTGCTCACTGTTCACAGCTCCAGAGTGGTGAAAACTGAGAGAAAAAAATCTACCAGAGCAAACTCACTTTATCACCCTAATTACCAACCGGTGGGAACTCTACAGTGAAAAGAAATGGGGGTTCTGTATTTTGGCTCTCACTCCAGCGCACTATGTGTCAAACCATTAGCTCCTGTCTTTTGCCCTTTGATTGAGCTGCAGACGTTACTGGCAGTCAAGCTAACTGGTCTTGATGAGGGGCATTGTCTGGCTAACAGAAAATAAAGAGAAAGATGTGAGATTATTTAAGTTATTCATAGTTAAATGAACCACATTAACTTGGAAGCATAGCACAGTGTTCTTCCTGTATGAAAATAATGACAAAAAAGTCCAGTTAAATGTTTTATGTAAAAAGAAATGGTGTGTGTGTTCTTTAGTAAAAGAGGGAAAAAAGCAGAGTGCCCTGCTGTGGTGTTGTTGTTAACATTATGTTTCCAGCAGCAGAGACCACTGGAACAGACTCTGCTGCAACTTTGGTACTGGAACTCCGGTTAGGTTGGTCTGTAGGTTAGGGGTACAAAGTCTTCACAAAATACACCTTTGTCTTACACGCCGGGTGCTGCACTGTGCCCTCGCAGTTCAGTTCCACCTTTCTGATCCATCAACATAACATAATTAACTAAAGTTAGTCCAAAATGTATTAACATTTTTGGCATTCGTGACTCTATATAGAATCATAGAAGATACAAATCGTGATTCTTATGTGGGTCAGTTTTTTCACCCCCACCATTTCCTCATATAAATGCAGGTGCTTATCCAGTATAATAGGGTCATCACTATATTGGTGGAAGACAAATCCTGAATGAGAACTAGTCAACTTTCTGAAGAGTGAACAATTAGAGATGCACCTCTGAGATTCTCAGACACATTTTTTGGCAAATTCCAGTACTTCAGCAGTTAGCCATTGATGGCATAGATTTGTGCCACGTGAGTGCACATTCTGAGTTGCAAGCTGTTGAAGGCCTGTCTCAGTGTGTTACAATAGTCTGGACAAAGTGGTCATCCATGCATGTGTTTTATATAACTTTTTGCATGAATACACAGATAAGCTGATATGTCTTGTGCTGTTGGCTAAAGAACTCTACACAAACAGGATAGTGTGCACCCCTGTAGGCAACGCTGAAGAGAAGAACACCAGCACAGTGAATACTGCTCCCTGCTAAGTTCTTAAACACTTCTTTGTCACTAGTTTGTTCTTCATTTAGTGCTTAGTGAACAAAATGATGCCACGGTACAGTTGATTTATCATAGTTTTCCTTTTAAAAAAACAAACCACAAACATGACATAACGTGGTGCTGTCACTCCCAAACAGCTGTCTGCAATGAGTTCATTATGTGGTTGGTGGAAGTTGCTCAAAGCTGTAGCTGCATAATGATGTGTGCATTCTCAGTAGGGTTGGTAGAACTAGAATCTTTTCACTGGAGTGAAATTGATTGATTTGAAGCATGTACATTGTAGTTGCATTCTGTTCCTCTTTTGCTATTTGGACACTAAATAATCATTAAATCATTTATTTTAAGCATGTACCTTTTCTCCTAATTTCTTTTAAAGCCGATATTGTAAACCTTTAACTGGAATGGATTTTGCTCTGTTTAACAGCCCAGTAATCTCTCACTATAATCTCTTGCCACCATTGGCTTTAGATTTATTGCAGGGAAAAGTAAACCCGCTGACAGGGCTGCTGTCACACTGTTTTCATAAACCAGTGTGCTTCTTTGGTGTTAATTATTAGTCACCTACAATTGTAACCTGGCTTATTTACGTCTATTTCTCTGGGCAAGCCATTCATTGTGCAACCATGGCAACCTCTGCATCCTTGTCATCTGACTGCATAGATCCATACTCAGGTAGTCATGGTTACAGTCTCCTTTCATTCTCCTGTGATGCCTTCTCAGGGACTGAGGCACAATTGTTACTGTCTAATGTGTTTTTTAACACAGGGCTGTTATTGAGCTGAACTCAAATCAGTTTTGTAACATAAAATGTTAGTTATTGCCATTAATAAATGTGTGAGACAGTTGACCTTACCATTGTGAAGACATAATAATGTGCACACTGATTTTCTCATACTTTGCTTCTTTCCTGAGCAGCTGTATCAAAGCGTAAGTAAGTCCAATTGATTGTTGCACTCACACTGTAGGCTCTTCAGGTCAAAAGGAGGGCTGTATTTGACTCGTAGACAAACCTGTCTAAAGTCGGTGTTGCTAGGCAACTGTCCATGTTCATCCAGCAATCATCTTGTTGAGTTAATAAATTATAAATCAGTGAATTGTTGATGACTCCAGTGCTTTGACCAACATGTACTGAAATGTTGTCCTAATATGCTTTTCAGTCCAAGAATAATGATCTGATCTCTTTTAATCTGTAGTCCAATTGCTTGTAGTCTTAATTCATTGCCAAGCTGACTGCACTGACACGTAACTCTAACAGTCCTGCTCTGCTCCTCTGAGTCGACAGTGTGAGTATCATTAGAGTCTGCCTCTGCTCAGGTGCTGATGCTGTAGCTTATTCTCTGCAAGAGCAGCTAGTTACCCATAGTACCATAGCGTTGCAAGCCGCTTTTACTTTTGTTTGAAATCTTTCTATTTAATATAATATATGTATTTAAAGTATAATGATAGAAACGGAGGTTAACTAACAAATGATAAGTCATCATGTTACTTAATCTTGATGTTCAAATTAAACAATGAAAATGTTATGCTGCGTTTCCACTGCATGGTACAGCTCGCTTCACGCCTTTGGTACCAGGTACTGTTCTTGATTTTGTCCGCCACTGCAGCTGGCAACCCCTCAGTGTAGGCGGGATTCTTCAGACAATCATCATATTGATGCCAGGTGAAACTGACCGTGACATCGTCTTCAGCGCGACACACATGAACAATGGAGGACATGCTTTCCTTTTGAGATCCTTTTATTGGCAACCAAAGCAGTCTTTACTTCGTCAGTTGATCATGGTGCGGATTCTCTCAACCAATCTGTGGTCAAAAATGTAAAACAAAAAAGAGCAGGTGGATTGGAGCCAAGCCGTACCATGCAGTGGAAACACGGCATTAGAGGTTAGGTTTTGTTCTTTGCAAAAAATTGTTGAAAACTTAATCTCTCCTCACTTGTACTCTTGGTCTGGACTTGAGTCAATTGTGTACTCTGTTGAAGCTGCCAGGAGTCAGACACCACAGAAGGTAAAAAGTTAATAGTAAGGGTGACTATGCCAGATGGCTTATTGTCAACTGTCACTTGTGATGTTAACCAAAATCTATTAGGGGTATGTGTATCCAGCTGTGACGGTCGATGTTGATGCTGCGTCTAAAAATTGATAAACTCTACGACAGCTGCTTTGTGAGGTCCTATTGGAGTCAGTCACAAGATGTGACGTGTGAATGATGGCGGCCATCTGTCTTTGTTTCCTTCACTCAGGGATATCTGAGTCTGAGCAGTTTCTGAAGGGGACGTCACAGATCAAGATCCTGTCTCCTGAGGACATCGAAGGCATGAGAGTGGTGTGCAAGGTAACACAACTGACGTCATTTGAGTTGTTATCCCGTTTAATGCATTGTGGTTTTGACATGTGTGTTATTTGCAGCTGGCACGAGAAGTCCTGGACATCGCAGCCATGATGGTGAAACCGGGCGTTACAACAGAAGAAATAGACCACGCTGTGCATCTGGTACACACACACACACACACACACACACACACACACACACACACACACACACACACACACACACACACACACACACACACACACACACACACAAAAGTTATAAAGGCTGGGATGTTGGGTTCTACCCAAAGCAGCCTTCACAGAAACACACAATATGTTGTTGAAAGAGCTGTCTCAGACAAATGCCAGCCTTTTCTCCTCCCTAAAAATATATATATATATATATATATATATATATATATAAATATCCCTGCTTATAATATGCCATAAATATGATCCAACAATATGCCCTGGTTTTCCTGGGCCAACATCAGCATGTTTGTCATTGTGAGAATGTAACCATGCTTACTTTAGCATTTAGTTCAAAGCTGGTGTGGCTGTAGACTCTTAGTCTTGTTTAAACCTGTTAAATAATTGTTGCCGAACAGACGCTGCTAATAAATAATGGAGCAGTGAGTATCTTCATGTAGATGAAGCTCCCTGCTGTGAAACATCAAGTCAGCTTTAGTTAAATATTGTACAATATTGAAGGCGGACACGCTGTCATGTTGGTCTTATCTAATACGTTCAATGCACACAGGATTGTGGAGGATTGCGATGCCGAAAAAACTGTGTACCGATACAGAACTTACCAGCTGCATTAAGCTGTAAGACAGCTACATGAGGGGAAAGGGGGTCACTCATATTTTACTCATTTCTTGCAATCTCTATAACCAATACACTTTGTCTATTCAGGCTTGTACAGCGAGGAACTGCTACCCCTCCCCACTCAACTACTACAACTTCCCCAAATCCTGCTGCACATCTGTCAATGAAGTCATCTGCCATGGCATCCCAGACAGAAGACTACTACAAGAAGGGGATATACTCAACGGTATGCTCATTGCACCCATCATAATTTTGTCATTTTGGGACCCTAGCACCAGTTGTTTGTCTAATATCTGCCACTGCTTTAAAGTTTCATATCTTTGTTAGAAATCCATTCTCAATGTCAAACCAAGTTCTAGGAATAGTTAAGCAGTGTTTGTACGTATGGGGAATGTTTTATTAAAGAGAATTGGGGGCTGGGGGCTTCTTCCTCCGTGACAAATGATTGTACCAGCATCCTGAAAATTTGTCAGCGGGAGTTGGGCCAGTTTTAGCCTCTTTTTATGAATATTTCTGCTAAGGCGATGTCTTCCATCCGCCACTCCCCTCAGAGCGTCTGATGGAGTACTTGCCAGCAACTCATCTCTCGCTGCGTGGTCCGACAAGACAAATTGTTTCATTAACCTTTACCAGTGGGGACTTGCTAGTCCCATTCTCTGCTCTCTATATTTCTTCTTAAGTGGGAAAAGTCCCACTTTGCCCACTAGCAATTCCAATTTCATCAGCAATTTAAAAAAAGGGGACATTTTGTTTGGCCTTGTAAATAGGCTGATGTTTTATGAAAATTAGTTCAGCCAATGCACGCCATTATGTTTCATTATTCATAAGTGTGTTTTCTTTGTGTTTAACATAATGGAATTGTTTGCCACGTAGCACAATGGTTCTGACATATTCATCGTCTTACTCTTATACAGTGGACATCACTGTCTACCACAACGGTTTCCATGGGGACCTCAATGAAACCTTCTATGTTGGAGAAATGGATGAAGAAGCAAAGAAACTGGTTGAGACCACATATGAATGCCTTATGCAAGCCATCGACTCTGGTAGGAATTCCAACTTGATTCTCTTTCATTTTAATAATCTGAAATGTAAGCCTTAAATGTCTTTTAAATATGATTTTGACAGGTCTTAAAAGTTGATTGGATTAACCAACCCCACCTGCACTGCTCTTTGTATATACTTGCATTACATGGCTGTTGGGGTAGGGGGAATATCAGATATTGGTATCAGCATGTGTCAGCCCATAATTAAGAAGAAATTAAAGTACACACAAAGTTTGAATTCATTTAGCAACAGCGTCACCATTACATAGTTTGTCCACCAGAGAGCTCTGACATTTGAGAGCAAGTTCGAGATCCAATGTTCATCATTCAGTTTCTGACCTGTTTCCCAGGCACAAGATAGAATTTTCAATCTCAATGTTAAATCTAAACTGGATGAAAAAATGATGAAAGTTATCAGAATAAAGAAAAAAAAGAAACATTTCCATTTCCATGACAACCGAACAACTCCCATCTGCTGAGGAAGACTGTGTGATATGATTGAAATCTGCAGAGCAGCTACTTTGAAGTGAGGTGAAATTGAAGGGCTCCTCATCAGAAACGTTGGTTTTGTTGCCTCGTCTGCACTACATCAGCGTCAGATTTAAAAGAAAATTCAAATTGAAAAACAGCCTATTACCCTCACACTTACGTCCTGGCTTTCTTTTTTTAACTTTACAGTGAAGCCTGGGGTTCGCTATAGAGAACTGGGGAACATCATCCAGAAGCACGCTCAGGCCAACGGCTTCTCTGTAGTGCGGAGCTACTGTGGTCACGGCATCCACAGACTCTTCCACACTGCTCCCAATGTGCCACATTATGCCAGTGAGTAGTCACATACCTGCCACCTGTACATGCTTTGAATCTCTGAAAAAGTTCTGACATGTTCTCCTACAACAGGATGATTTCTATGTTCATTAATTTCCCAGAAAACAAAGCAGTTGGAGTTATGAAGCCTGGCCATGTGTTCACCATTGAGCCCATGATATGTGAAGGTGAGTGTAACTGCTTTTGTGTGAGTAACATGAACAACAATAGGGGTAATTATAGCAATAATAATAATTTGAATTGGTATAAATAAAACATAATTGCCCTAATTAGGCTCCAGCAAATATATAATAAAACAAGTATCACAGTTAAGAGACACCAAACAAGAATAACACTTTGCTGGGCTGTGAAAACCATATCTCTCCAAAATGATAACTTCTTTTTTTAAGCTGAGAAAAATCTATAATATATAATATTGCTATAATATCTCAAGCTATAAAGGAACACTATATTCTTCACTTCATCTGACCAAATTTTAAGATAGCGTAGATTTCTAAGGATAACAAAAATATGTCCGTCTAAGTCATAAAGCAAGTTTGTACAATGGCTTCCTCGGATGTATTGATAGCCAGAAACTTTTACAGTCAAAGCTAGACAGAGATTGAGGATTTGAAGCTGTTAACTGGCTCACAAGGGGTTAAACAATGTGTAATACAGCAGACCCAGTCATGCTTTAAAACAGTTCATTAAAATCTTAACAAGCACTTTATACCTCACCTGTATCCAGTGCCAGGCCTGACGTGTTTTGTTTCTACAACGCTGTTTAATTGATGCCGTGTGTGTGCGTGCGTTTGTGCGTGGCGTCTCAGGTGGCTGGCAAGACGAGACGTGGCCCGACGGCTGGACGGCAGTGACCAGAGACGGGAAGCGCTCGGCTCAGTTCGAACACACCCTGCTGGTGACGGAGACCGGCTGCGAGATCCTCACCCGCCGCCCCGAGGACAACGGTCGCGCTCATTTCCTGAGCCAAGTGTAGGCTGGACCTGAACGCACCAAGGACTGGACTCTCCAGACAGAGACACCCAGCACCTCTGGGTCTCACACACACACACACACACACACACACACACACACACACACACACACACACACACACACACGTATACACTTGCGCGCACACACATCTGAAACAAGAGGCACCACTCCTAGAGCTCAGTTTAACTGTGGCTCTCATTGTTCTTTGAATTAAATATTGGTTCCTCGAATTAAATGGAAGTACTTGAATGTGTCTTATATCAAACGTGGATCGCTTTATTAGTGAAAACAGTGTCCTCTGAAGGAAAGAGGAAAGAAAGTATTTATTAGGTTTTGGTTTTGCTTCGTGGTCAGGCATGACATCAGGCCGGTTTTGACCTCTGGGTCATGTCAGAGTTTTTACTGGCTGGCTACTTGTTGTCTGTGGTGTGTGGAGCTCAGGGCAAATCCAACTCTAACCCATGCTTCGCTTCATTTCTCTTAGCCAATGCTAACTCAATCAGACTTCCTAAGAATTTCCCAGAGATGGACTGAAAAGAATCAGCAGTACCGGGAAACCTGGTCAAAAAGTCTCACAAACTCAACAACTAGCAACTCAAAACTTATTTAGGATATGGAAAATAACACAAGGCCAAAAAAAACTAAAAGATTTCAGCCAACGAAAACCATCTTCTGGCGGCCATATTGGATATTTTCAGCTCTAATGAAGCAGAGTTTAACAGCACATATTTAAAGGAGCTGTTTTAGTGAAAACACAAGATAGATGAGAAGATTAATAGCACTATCATGTACGTACTTTAAGCATGTAACTAGAAGACGTTTAGCTTAGCTTAGCTTAGCATAGGGACTGTAGGCAGGGAGAAACAGCTAGCCTGGCTCTGTCATGGTTAGCACCAGCATTCCGAGGGCTCAGTAACTACGATGTATCATGTTTGTTAAATTTGTGCAATGAAATTACGTGCAAAATCGACTGTTTGTTGTATTTACGGGAGGTTGCGTGAGCGTGGCCTCAATTTGTCATTTTTACAAACTATGGATTAAACAAATGAGATATACGGTCTTAATTAGTGCGCTTTAGAGGTTCTGGTTGGTGGATTTTGTTGCCTTCAGACAGTCAGGTGCCGTTTCCGCAGTTCCAGTCTTACTCTATTCTAAGCTAGGCTAAGCGTACAGCCTCCTGGCTGTAGCTTTGTATTTAATGGACAGATGTTAGTTATATTAATCTTTTCATCTAACTCTCAGAAGGAAGGCAAAATTAACATATTTCCCAGCATCTGTAAGGGTTTGGAAAGGAAAAGAAACAATCACTTTATCACTTATCTCTGTGGTATGTACCTGTTGACGTGTCCAGTAGAAGTACTCTAACGCAATTGTTATATCCTGAATGTGGCTATTATTAGTGCACAGTCGGTTTTCCAGTAGAGGACGTCAGCCCCGGTTGCTAGGAGAATTGTGACGCAACCGCAGAGCATCTACATAGACATCCAGAATGAGAACAACGACATTGAGCACAAAGTCGTTCTGAACTTGTAAATCCTGCTCCGAGGAATACTCTTTACAGTGTCTCATCATGTTTCCAATAGCCCTGGTGTAGCAAATTGAGCCTTAATGTGTGAATCTAGGAATTAAAACTTGCAGAATATCTCAAGGCACGTTAACTGATGTTTCCCCCCCTTATCTCGACAGTCACCATTTACCTTGATGTGGGGATTTTCCTGGTGTGAGCAGCATTCATTATTTCTACATTTTCAGAGGACTAATGTGATCACAGTTTCTCTGCCATCTTTGTATTTCTTCTAATGGAGTAATAAATGACTCTTATGTAGCTCTGTGTGGGTGAGTTTGTCCTTGAATAGATTGGAGATCTAAATCCCAAAAGTGGTTTAATTCTCCAGCCTTTTATTACTGGAAATGACTATCTGGGTACCTGTTAGCCTTAATGCCTCTTGTAACTCAGTGGAGTGCAATGATTGTCTAAACTGCGTTTGAGATTTGATTTTGACACATTAGTTTACTTCAAGTTTGACTGTATTGGTAAACTTCCTAATGTTAGTGAAGGTTGTCTGTGCTTCTATAAAAATGACTTTAGGTTCATAAACATGATTTCAGGAAAAACTACACCAATTTAGTCTGCAGTTACTAATACAGGATCATTCATGGCGCCATGGAACGAAGTTGGTGGTAGTTGTTTTGATGCAAAATGCTGCTTCAGTTTCAGTGCAAACCGCGGTGATTCAGCAGAAATGAATTACTCAATAAACTGCTAGGATGTTATAAATGGGGACCGCCATAGCACATCCATTAACGATGATATAAATTTGATTATATGGCAGCCATTTTGACCTGCTATAATAGAAAAAGCACATATGTAATAATTACCAGTTTCAGTTACTTGCTTAATTCTTAACCTTAAACTCAAAGTGGTGTCCTTACAAAGTGCAAAACACTAAATCATCACATGCAGATACAACACAGACGCCTCATATTAGCACACGTTTCCTTGCCTGTTACTAAACATACAGATCAGACTGGAAATAAGGACAAATAAATGCATTCTTTTCCTTTTGATTTCTATCAAAATGTTGCAATGTACTAAGTGTCTGACTGTAAAATGGTTCAATGTTAAGCGCCTTCCAGCATTACGGTATTACTTTACCTTACTGTTGTTTAGATGATTAAAGGAATGGTTAAACCTTTGGGAAATGCACTTATTTGCTTTCTAGTTGGAGAAGACTCTTATGGGAGCACGGTAAATCTGAAGCTACAGATGGAAAACGGTGGAAACAGCCAGTCTGGCTCTATCCTGTTCTTTCAATCACAAATCAAAGCGTAAAAACGACAGTTGCCATTTTACACAGGGTTATGTGCTGGAAATTACCGAACATTAAATTAATTCAGTGAAGTAAGAACCCCTTTTTTGCCTCATATAAATGCAGAATTTACTAATTACGTCAAAGTCAGACTCTTATCTATATTTACATTAGTGCAGCATATTCAGTAAACAAAATATTTTCAAAAGCCATTCATCAGGGGGTCATCATCTCAAGCACTCACTTCAGCATAAATTGCACATTTCCTCTCATGGCTGCAAGAATTAGGAGGGAATGACCACGACGTACAGTTTTGATGAGAAGTAGTTCCTGTTTGACAGCTTCATTTGATAGAATTAAAATTTAAAAATACCATAATGATTGGGATTCTGTGATAAACATATACAACACTGTGATGCAATTGTAAAACGCTGACATTTACTCCGAGTTTTACCAGTTCTTTCTCCTCAAGCTCGAAGGCCCACAGTCCTTTGATCCATCCACTTCAATATTACCTGTCCTCAGTGTCCTTGTATAAGAATCCCATCCCCCAGAAATCCGAGTATATGAGGAGGATGAACTGAGATGTTGATGAAACATGGCTGCTGACGTGTTTTGCCTGACTACGTTTAGCAGAGCTGAGCACAGGGCGTCGCAGTAATTCAGTAAGTTCAGTCTGAGGATCGCCCAAGCTTGGCCAGACTTCTTTATTCACAGTGAAAAGTTATTAACAGTCAGATTAAAAACCATGTGTTGGTATCCTACAGGAAGAATAATCAAAGGATATCTTGCAAGAGCGTACGCAGGCTACTGGGCCTTGATGTCCATGCTATTATTGAACGGAACGAGTGAAAAATCCCTATCAATTACCAACCTTACGATACTGATGCCATGTGGTTGTTTGTGGTTGTACCACCTTATTATTCTTTCCATCTAGATCAAAGAATATTTCTGAATAATCTTGTTTTGGTTCTGCTGTTTTTCTTTCACTGAGTCTTCTCTCTGTGTGTTCCTTCGGGGGGGCACTGATCAAAGACGTGTCTGACTGTGCATTGTTCAAATAAAACACGAACAGGGATTTGAAAGTTATTTTATTAAACTGAGCACAGTTAACATGGAGTGAGATCATGGTTTTCCCGTGCTCCACTGCATCTAGAATTGCAAGACGACGCGGATGCTGAAAGATGAAAATGGGATGAGATTATGGACCCAAGATTATATATTCCTGATTGAACTGGTTCTCATATCTGAAGAGAGGCCACTCATGCTGCAAACTATTAGAAAATCTTGCCTCATCACATCTGAGTTTTGTCCTCAACAGAGGGCGGCAGTGACGCATAACGTCTCTAACAGACGAAACCCAGAGGGACACTAGACTAATGCACACATTAACATAACAAACAACTTATATGTATGTTAAGTCGAGGCTTACCATTTCCCAGCATGCATGAGATCAAAGCCGTCAGTGATCTTCTCAAAGGGCAGAGTGTGAGTCACAAATTCATCCACTTTGAGCTTCTTGTTCATGTACTCCTCCACCAGTTTGGGAACACTGTCAACACTCTTGTATCCTGGGGAAAGTGTAAATGAACACATTAAGCAAAGCAGTGGCTTTCAACCTGGGGTCCGGGGACCCTCAGAGGTCCTTAAGGGAGTTTCAAGGGGTCCCAAGAAAAATGGGGAATATTTTAATGTCACTACTGTTTCATTGACTACACGTTAGCCCAATGAGAGAATGTATAAGAAAGAGTATTCTGTTCATAGGTTTCATATTCTTCATTGTTATTTAGACAGTATAAACAGTTGGAATACCTAAATCTGATCAGGATCCCTTAGACTACATCTTATCGAATACAGGTCTGCAGCCTGATGTGTAACAATTTAGGGGTCCTTGACACCAAAAAGGTTTAAAACAACTGAAGTAGAGGGAAGTAGTGGTGTGTATTTCATCAAGTGGTTGCACAACATTTTAACATGTTATGTGTTTTGAATATCTGGACCAAAGGGCTGGGCCGACTGAGCGACATTGTAAGTTAGCTACTGCTAGCATGGCTAAAAACAGTGTCCCCCCCCCATTTACTATATATTGCACCTCCGCCATTTTATTTAGTGTCTAAATTCTCAGTGAAAATAATGCAAAAAGCCTCAAAGTGTAACAAAAAAGGTAGTATCCACGGCAGGAACAACCCACAATGCAATAGATCATATTTAATAAGCATCACCTGTCAGACTATTTTCAATTAGGAACCTCCTCACGTCAGCATCTCAAAACAGATCATTCTCACAACAACTAGCCTGTTACCTCCAAAAGCAGTGCCTTTCCAGGTGCGTCCAGTCACCAGCTGGAAGGGCCGGGTGGAGATCTCTTTTCCCGCTGCTGCCACCCCGATGATTACGCTGGTGCCCCATCCTTTATGGCAGGCCTCCAGAGCTGCCCTCTGCCACCAAGAGACAGTATCAGGACAGTATCTGAAAGGTGCACTTGACCACCACCACAGCCTCACCCTATGCGTTTGGATATTGCTCAGTTTTGTTGTGAGAGCTATGGGTCAGTAATATGGCATTATCATTTCCCAACTCACCATGATTGCCACGTTGCCCACACACTCAAAGGAGTAGTCCACGCCACCATCCGTCATCTCTACTAGAACTTCTTGGATGGGCTTGCTGTGGTCCTTTGGGTTCACTACTTCTGTGGCACCGAACTCTCGGGCAGTTTTAAACTTGTCAGGGTTGAGATCGACTCCAATAATCCTGGCTGCCCCCGCTGCTTTACAGCCCATGATAGCTGCGAGGCCCAGCGCTCCCAGGCCAAACACTGCACATGTTGAGCCGGCCTCCACCTGCAGGGTGAGGGACACGAGAGGCAACAAAGAGCAGCACATTTCTACAGAGATTAATGACACAGCCATGTTTGATATAAATTGAATAGATTACAGTTCAGTTCTATAAAAGGATTACAAAAGGAGTCAATACTTACGCATGTGCTTGCGTCTTTAGGTTTTTCACTGGCGTAAATATAGTACTAGAGTTTTCATGCTGGCTCAGAACCAATTAAAGGCCATATTAAATCCATATTATAAATCATCACAGTGGATGCTTTGAGCTGAATGCTAATGTCAGCATTATAATATGCAATGGTGATGTAACATGCTGATGTTTAGCAGCTAAAATGTATGCAGCATGCTAACGTTTTTAAATAAGCACCTAATATAAAGGGCAGTTGAGGCTGATGGGACTGTCACTAGTTTTGGCCATAAAACAAAGTATTGGTCAAATTATGATGACCGTGATCTGCTGAGGACCATGAATGTTCAAAATGTTGTAGCTTACAGTCAAAAAGCTTACAGTCATAGATGTAAAGGAAACTGTGCATGCACTCGGCCCCATGAAGTCTGCCTAACAAGAGAAAAACCTGCGGCTGATTGGGACTTACTGATTCCTCCTCTGCTCTCTACATATATACAGGCCTACATGCCCGGGGCTAAACTGTGGGTGGGTGATTTGTTCTCTTCATGTCCACCGCTCAGATAATGGAAGAGAATGACAATTAGTGACTGGCTGGGATGACTGATCATAGTCATAGATCACAGCGCACTGACGTCAGGGCAGGAGGCTGACTCACCTTGGCTGTGTTCAGAGCAGCTCCATAACCAGTGGAGATGCCACAGCCCAGCAGACACACCTTGTCGAGGGGGGCCCTGTGGTTCACTTTAGCAAGGGAGATCTCAGCCACCACGGTGTACTCGGAGAATGTGCTACAGCCCATGAAGTGGAAGAGGCTCTTGCCTTTGCATGAGAAACGGGATGTCCCATCTGGCATCAACCCTCTGCCCTGAGTGAGCCTGGGGAGAAAGATACAAGCACAGATCTGACAACAGATCAGCTGCACAAGGCAAGGTTTTCATGTTAGGTGATCTGCACTGTTGCACAGTGCTCTGACCCAGGACATTTACCTGATCTTTTGACACAAGTTGGTTTTGGGATTCTTACAGAACTTGCACTCTCCACACTG